AAAAGGAACGTTTCAGCCGCTGTGATTTTATTTAAATTTTCTCGTTGTGTCATCCTTTTCCACTCAGTTATCACTCAACTTATCTGAATTAAAGTTAAATTCAAATTGAATCTTAGTTTATTTACTGTTTTTACTGTAGTTATTGTTTTAAAATTATGATTTAAAATCCTAGTCAACAAGCATCCTCATTCACATTTTCTCCTAAATTTTCACCTTATGATAAATGTTTACATTATTTATTGGCTGCATCTAAAAATATCAAATATATTTTCAATTTAAACATAGATGTGAAATAATACAATATAACCCAAAATAACTTCAATGATATTATTTTACTAGGTCATCAAATCAATTCAGTTTAGTCCAATCAGCTGCCTGTAGTGTCTTTAAATGTCCAGCAGGTGTCAGTATTCTGTGAGAAGGAATCAATCCAGTTTGGCTTCAAGATGATCTATCTTTCAGAGAGAAGTGGTGTCTGTTCCTGCTGCTTTACCAAACTGGAAACACTTCATGACTGATGTGTCCTGGAAACATATTTGGTGTTTATCTAATCACTTTCTGCTCACTAACAAGGTGAAGGAAGTTTCATTCAAACTCATTCACAGGATCTATGCTGCCAAAGACCACCTAAAAAAGTTCAGTTCTGATATTATTGTGATCTTCTTCCAGAATCTGTTCTGCTGTTATTGGTTAAGACAATTGGCCCTTTTTGGCTTTGTAGCAATGCAATAATTTAATTAATTTATATATTGCCAATTCACAACGTGTCATGTCACATGTCACCGCTCCGGTTCTCTGTCGTGGATCTTGGATGTTGAGGTTTGTCAGTATCCTGGGGTCTAGTGGTGTTGTAGGGGTGCTCTCATCACTGCCACCTTCAGGGGAAACGGGGTCCTCACAGCCTCTCTTAAACTCGCTGCCAGCCTCCATCCTCAGCATTGAAGCCCTCAGCACTGTGGTTAGTGACCTGGGGCTCTGGGTTCCTTTTGTCTGACCTGTGGTTGCAATGTTGCTTCTGGCCCCCTGCTTCACATCCTGTCTTCCCCTGGAGGATCATTAGTCCTCTGAAAGCCAGATCATCCAGTCAGATTGAACCAAAGTTTTCTAAGGAAAACCAGCTGATTGAATTGACTCATCGACTCGAAGGCAATCCCTCACACTAAGCATGCTTGTAGCAACAGTAGAGAGGAAAAACTCCCTTTTAACAGGAAGAAACTTCCAGCATACATAGAGGAGGTTTAGATGTAGATCTTTTCCTGTATATTATGTATATATAAAAAAGAATCGTGTATTTGTTTCGTACCTGAGAGACGCTGACTGAACTCCCTTAATGGGATCAACCGTGAGCTAGATCCCGCTGAGCCCAAACATCCAACCAACCCCACCGCGGTCATAATCATCCTACTTTATGTAAAAAAAAAAAAAAACAAACAGAAAAAAACCCCCAAAAACGGTAGATTTGTGTTTTTGAAACGTAGTGATATTGCAAAATCCATGTTTATCACAACAGTGAGAAGTTTAGTTGTATTTAACTACGATATCCCAACATGTACATATTTTTAAATGCATGGTTAATTGCAAAAATATGCTCACATTTATGCAGTTCTTTTCAACAACCGGACTGCATTTTTCCTTTCACTGAATGAGTTCTAGGAAGGCAGTCCGTTCCGCAGTCAGCCCCTGACCCTACTCTGTCTGAAGGGATCATTTTAAGGGTTGGAGTTCTCTTCCCCCTAGCTCTTATAACTATTGGGACACACTAACCTTAGACGTGAACGCGCAAAGCCGAGTGTTAAGGTCGAATATGAGTGCAAATAAGAGAAATGGGACTGGGCCTATGACTGCCATCAAGCTGATGATAGCAAGNCATTTCTTTTCTTTTGCAGTTTATCATTAAAATGATCCAGAACTTTGGAGCCTAATGGGAACATTTCAGCCGCTGGGTTTTTACATTCATTTTCTCGTTGTATCATCCTTTTCCTCTCAGTTATCACTCGACTTATATGAATCAAAGTTAAATTCAAATTGAATCTCAGTTTATTTACTGTTTTTACTGCAGTTATTGTTTTAAAATTATGATTTATAATCGTAGTTAACAAGCTTCCTCATTCACATTTCCCCTTAATTTTCACCTTATGATAAATGTTTACATTATTTATTAGCTGCATCTAAAATATCAAATATATTTTCAATTTCAACATAAATGTGAAATAATACAATATAACCTACTATAACTTCAATGATGTCATTGCAACAGGTCATCAAAGATACTCAGTTTAGTCCAATCGGCTGCCTGTAGTGTCTCTAAATGTCCAGCAGGTGTCAGTATTCTGTGAGACAGAATCAATCCAGTTTGGCTTCAGGATGATTCATCTTTCAGAGAGAGGTGGCGTCTGTTCCTGCTGCTTTACCAAACTGGAACCAGTTTATGACTGATGTGTCCTGGAAACATACTTGGCGTTTATCTAATCACTTTCTGCTCACTAACAAGGTGAAGGAAGTTTTATTCACAGGATCTATGCTGCCAAAGATGACCTATAAAAAAGTTCCATTCTGATATTATTGTGAACGGCACTTATTGTGATCTTCTCCCAGAATCTGTTCTGCTCTTGTTCTGGTTGTCTTCTGCTGTTATTGGTTAAGACAATTGGCCCCTTTTTGGCTTTGTAGCAATGCAATAATTTAATTAATTTATATATTGCCAATTCACAACGCGTCACGTCACATGTCGTGTCACATGTCACCGCCCCAGTTCTCTTGTCTCTGTCGTGGATCTTTGATGTTGAGGTTTGTCAGTATCCTGGGGTCTAGTGGTGTTGTAG